GTTGTGCAAATTGCACAGTGTTTTCCTGGGTGTCTTCGTGGCTGGAATTGCAGAATGGCACGGAGTATGGAAGGCTGGGTTGTAGAAGTCCAGATAAAACTTCTTAGCAATGACTTGTGGCAAAGATATTTCACTGTAGGCTACAGTGGTGTTAGAAATGCAGCAAATTCAACCCCCCCTGCAGTAGCCAGTGGCTGTGGCAGAGGAGGATGGCTGAACCCTGAGCAATAATAACTTAAAGTGCTGCAGCTAAATCTGGCAGTGTTCATCTCTGGTGCCTGTGCTAGCAGGGAGCCTGTCAGGCAGTCATTAGCTTTGCAAATTCACATTTAGTGCTTGCTGCTCACAGCCTTCTCTGTGTAAAATACCTCAGGTTTTCTTGGTAGTCTTTGGAGAGATTTGCCTGCTTTCTTAAAAAAAAAAAGTTTGAAATGCAAACTAGGTGAGAAATTGAAATGACCATTTAGAGCACTGTAATTTCTGTAGCTGTCCTTTACAGTTGTCACTGTGTTTGAAAATGTTACCTAAGATGTCTTTAAAGTTCACAGAAGTCCCTTTAATCATTACCATATCGTTATTGAATGTTTTGGGCTATACTCTGCTGTTTTTCCATCCTGAACTCTCTTTGCAGTTCTTTTAGTTGAAATGTTGTCTGTATTTTTCTCTGTTAGAATTCTTGTTGGAATTCTTATCGCCTCAATATATTTTACTCCAAAACACTTTATTTAGAATGTATGTTTGCTATATTTTATATAGCAAAATATGGTGGTTTTGAGCATTACTCTTTTTGATATTAAAAAAATAGTATAAAAGTGTGTTTCTATCATTCTACAAAAAAACCTGCATCTGTTACTGTGACTGAGAGCTTGTAGTTCCTAATGTTGTGGGATTTGATGACTAATACTGATCCATGATATAGCAGTCTGTCACTATCTGTTACCAAGATAAATTTCATAAAAGAGAGGAAAAAAACCTTTAGGGAGCCTATTTTGTCATGTTTCAAATATTAAGTCTTACTGTAATGTTCATTTCCAAATGACATTGCTACACATACTACATTCATAAAAATTAACAGCTTAACAGCTTTTTTTTTAATTGGGACCATGTATGTGTTCTTTGTAGTAGAAACATGAAAAATAGCTTCAGTTTGTGGTGTTAGGATGAGTGCATTGCAAATAGGCATAATATAAACTGTTAGAGCCTTTAAGGTTTTTTTTTAAGTTTACCTGATCTGCCTCGAGAATTGGAATGTAGCATTCTTGAGAGAGTAATGGGAGGTGTTTCACTCTAGTGAAATGTTGCATTTTGATGTTTTTGGTGTGCTGTTGTCTGAGAGATCTGCAGTTAGTGTTCCTAGCAAAACATTTATCATTTTAGCTACAAAGTCTGTAAACCAGCAAGTCCTTATGTTTGTGCTCTTTGATGGAGGTGTAGTATTTCTCATGATATTTAATTTCCAAGATAAAGGAAGGCTCATAAAAGTGTTTCATTTGGCTTCTTACAGTCGGTACAGGCTCATGTAATCATAATTTTTCAAGGGAAGTAAGCTAATACTTTGTCCCGTGTAGTTTGCAGACCACTCAAAAGGTGTTAGATGTTGTTAATGTGTTTTTTTCCCTTTCTTTCATACGGACTGGAGATTGAGAGCTCCCTCTTCAGCCTGTCTGCACCTTCATTCAGCAAGGCACTGGGCTTAGAAGCTGGGTGATAGGGAAAAGTGGAGGAGAGGCTTGGTTTTTTTAGCAGCTCTGAGGTCAATTACTGCATCAGTCTGAACTACATTTACAGGTTTTGAGACAGGATTTCTTCTAGGCAAACAAAGCTTTCTGGAAATTCTGCATATGTCTGCTAATAATAGACTCTGAGAAGTACAGTAACTCACTTGTGCTAGAGCTGGTTATCTGTTATTTCATACTAATAAAAATTATAACACTGGATATAAACCCTGTATAATATATTAATAGTGGGTTTTTTTTTTCCTGCCATTCTAATATGCCTGACTGCTTCTATTCATAAAGTTGAAGACAGGGATTTCCCAGTCCTTTGCTGAGTAACTGATTTGCCCTTGCTTTAAGATGTACAGGCATACACATGACAGCTCTGGAGCAGAATTTTGGGCAGAACATACTTGTTACACCTGTTGTGTGCATGACTGACATAAAGAAAAATGTCTGGGAGGGAGAACTTCAAAAGATAATCTGCTCAAAGGCCTGCTGAATGGCAAAAAAAAAATACATATATATGTAGTAAAATGGAAGATATTTATATGCTAATGTATCAGATACTGTGAGCTTCAATACTGCATGTTGACCTTTATTTTAACACACTGTGTGGGAATGCAATAACAAAGAATTGAAAGTACTTCCTGTAGGACTGATTATATTTGGGTGCTGTCTCTGCAAGTGGTATCTTGAGACTGAAATACGAATTTGTGACCAAAAGTGTTGATTTTTAGAACTACTGTAAAAATTGCAGAAAAGCAACCCACAGTAGAAAACAT